CTTATACGTTTAAATATATGTATATTTTTTTAATTTATGTTAAAATTTATAATTTATACCAAAAGCACCTTAGAAAACTTGCCTAACCTTATTATAACAAGCACAATTTAATTTAGCCTAACCCAGCTAAATATATTTTAGATAAGTTTACAATAACTTAATAATAAACAAAATGAAATGACTTTTGTGAAATTACTGCATACACAAATTTTTGCTTGCCTTATTCAGCAAGAAGAGCATTGCTATTTAAGCCAAAATTGCAAGTTTTACCTATTCCACTTCCCCATGGAGATAAGAGGAAATAAACAAGAACTAGTAAGAAAACAGAAGAAAACCCATAGGGGTGTGTGTATATGCTTGTACATCCAAGTGTAGTGTGACCCAAGTGTAAGTAGAAGTAGCAAGACATACTGAAATCCTGCACGTTTACGACAGAAAAAAAGACATCAGCAATCCTACCATCAAGTAAAACAATTACAGGCTTCCATTTTAACACTCACTTGGCATGACAGTAAAAATAAATTATATATTTATTTTATTAATACATTAGCTGTTTCCCACTAAAGCAGAGTGGCCCGAAAAAGAAAAAAATTCATCATCATTAACTCCGTCACTGTCTTGCCAGAGGCGTGCTTACACTACAGTTATAAAACTAACATTAACACCCCTCCTTCAGACTCAAATCCGGCCTGCCGGTTTCCCTGAATCCCTTCAGAAATGTTACCCTGCTCACATTCCAACAGCATGTCAGGTCCTAAAAACCATTTGTCTCCATTCACTCCTATCAAATACGCTCATGCATACTTGCTGGAAGTCCAAGCCCCTTACACACAAAACCTCCTTTACCCCCTCTCTCCAACTTTTCTTAGACCGACCCCTACCTTGCCTTCCCTCCCCTCCAGATTTATACACACTCGACGTCATTCTGTTTTGTTCCATCTTCTCTACATGTCCGAACCACCTCATTAACCCTTCCTCAGCCCTCTGCATAATTCCCAAACTATGAATTCTCTGCATTATATTCACATCACACACTACCCTCAGACATGACATCTCCACTGCCTCCAGCCTTCTTGTTGCAACATTCACCACACATGCTTCACACCCACATAAGAGCATTGGTATAACTATACTCTCAGACATTCCCTTCTTTGCTGCCATGGACAAAGTTCTTTGTCTCCACAAACTCCTAAGTGCACCACTCACCCATTTCTCCTCATCAATTTATGTTTCGCCTCATCCTTCATAGATCCATCTGCTGACATGTCCACTTCTAAATATCTGAATACATTCACCTCCTCCATATTCTCTCCCACCAACCTGATACCCAATCTTTCATCACCTAATTTTTTTTTATTATCCTCAATCGCCTTACTCTTTCTGATATTCACTTTTAATTTTCTCCTTTTACATACCCTACCAAACTCATCCACCAACCTCTACAACTTCTCTTCTGAATCTCCCAAAAGCAGTCATCAGCAAAAAGCACCTATGACAGCTCCCACTGTGTTATTCTTTATCTTTTAGCCCCACACCTCTTACTAACACCTACACATTCACTTCTCTTACAACCCCATCTATAAATATATTGAACAACCATGGTGACATCACACATCCCTGTCTAAATTATTATTATTATAATCGAGGGGGAAGTGCTAAACCCGGAGGATTACACAGCGCCTGGGGGGGGGGGATGTGGAAGGCATTCAGGCTTAATTTGGGGAACTGGAGCACAGATCCAATTCCCTAAATCAAGAGCCCCTCACCAACATCAAGGAACCTTCCTTGAGGGGATCCCTGTCTAAAGCCTACTATTACTGGGAAATAATCTCCCTCTCTCCTACATAAACCTGAGCCTCACTATCCTCGTAACTCTTCAATGCTTTCAGTAACCTACCTTCTATTCCGTGCACCTGCAACATCTGCCACGTTGCCCCCCTATCCACCCTGTCGTATGCCTTTACCAAATCCATAAATGCCACAAAAACCTCTTTACCCTTATCTAAATACTGTTCACCTATGTCACTGTAAACACTTGTTCTACACTCCCCCTACCTTTCCTAAAACCTCCTTGTTCAGCTGCTATGCTACTGTCTTAACCTTAATTCTTTCAATAATAACTACCATACACTTTACCAGGTATACTCAACAAATTTATCCCCCTATAATTTTTGCACTCTCTTTTGTCCCCTTTGCCTTTATACAAAGGAAATATGCATGCTCTCTGCCAGTCCCTAGGTACCTTACCCTCTTCCATACATTTATTAAATAATAGCACCAACCACTCCAAAACTATATCCCCACTTGTTTTTAACATTTATATCTTTATCCCATCAATCCCAGCTGCCTTACCCCCTTTCATTCTACCCACTACCTCAAGAACTTCCCCCACACTCACAACTGGCTCCTCCTCACTCCTAAAAGATGTTATTCCTCCTTGCCCTATACACGAAATCACAGCTTCCCTATCTTCATCAACATTTATCCTGTCAACGGTCCAAACGTATATGTACTTTTTTTCTACATTTGAAAATGTGTAAAAAAACTTTGATCTACTTTTTTTTTTTGTTATATTTGAAAATATGTAAAAAAAACTTAGATCTACTTTTGTAGCACCACACATGTGAACGTAGATCTGCTTGGACCGTTTACGGGTTAACAATTCCTCAAATAAAGGATTACCACTGAGAGAGAGAGAGAGCGACAGACAGACTGACTCGAGACTGTTTAGGTGCAGTGATAGTTCTCTGATTATTAACGGCACCAATCTCTGGTGGAGAAAATCCTGACTCAGTATTTGCCAATGAAGCACTGCTGCCAGATGTTGGAATAGTGTTGGCAGGTGTGCTGACAGGTGTAGGCTCAGAGATGGGTGAAGTGGGCCATTGCTAAATGGGAGGTAGTCTCAAAAAGAAAGCTAGCATCAGGTAGAGTAGGCTCCAAAACCTGGTGGTCCTTGGTCTAGGAGACAAGGTTATCTGCCTGCAATTTTGGCTTAAATAGCAATGTTGTTCTTACTGAATAAGGCAAGTGAAAATTTGTGTATGCAGTAATTTCACAAAAATAATTCTGAACCTAGCAAAAAAATATTTAATTGTTTGTTTATTATTAAATTATTGTAAACTTATCTAAAATATATTTAGTTGTATTAGGCTAAATTAAACTGCACTTGCTATAATAAGGTTAGGTAAGTTTTCTAAGGTTCTTTTGGTACAAAATTATTAATTTTTACATACATACCTGAAAAAATATATCTTTAAACATATAAGAGAAAATTTTAGAAAATTAAGAGAGTTCTTGCTAATTACCAATTTTACTTATTCGGCACAACATACATATGTATATATCAACACACTGGCCATCTCCCACCAAGGCAGGATGACCAAAAAAACAAAAAAACACTGACCATCATTCACACACAATCACTGTATTTGTAGAGGCACTCAGATATGACAAATTAGATGTCACTCTACACAGCAAATATTCCAGACCCCTCCTTTAAAGTGCAGGCATTATACTTCCCACCTCATGGACTCAAGCCCAGCTAACCAGTTTCCCTGAATTCCTTAACAAAATATTACCCTGCTCACACTCCAAAAACTCGTCAAGTCCCAAAAAAAACCCATTCATCTCGATTCACTTATGTCTAACATGCTTACACATGCCTGCTGTATGCCCTCTCCTCCCTCACACAGTTGACCCTCGAATAACACAGATCCATTTATAGGCGGATTTTTTTCAATAAACAAATCGGAATTCAATTTTTTTAGATTTGCAACAATTTGAAAAAACTTGCAGACGAACTGTGTAGCTTAGAAATATTGAAAAAATTAAGAAAAGTTATGTAATAAATGCATAAAATATATGTAGATACTAGTCTATTTTATCATTTACTACCATAAAATATACACAAATCTATTATAAAAAGTTAAAATTTATCAAAACTTATGAACACAAATACAGATTGTACATGGCACCACTCACAGTCAAAAGAAATGTAAACGAAGATGCATTGTTATATCATAACTGCATAAAATAAACTGTTGGACATATTGTACTACCATGCAATATAAAATCATAGCTGCATAAAATTAACTCTAGGACGTACTGTACTACTGTGATAATTTCATACCCACATTCTGTTGCTATTGCAGTGAGCTCAAGTGTTGCGAGTATCAGCTTAAAATGCTGTGTAACACTAATCTCCATGTGAGCAGTGCGTCTTTCAGTAAATTGCTTATTGCAATAAAAAAAAAAAAAGAGATCTCGCGTTTAGTGCAGTACCGTAAACCTTGAATAACACCATGGGACCCATACATATAACATCTACATGGATTTTTATCATGGATTTTTTATCATGTAGGTACTGACAATTCATCTTATAAACAGATGATGTAAACTTATAATATCGATGAATACAGTACAGTACTGTAAATGTATTTTCTCTTCCATATTTTATTAACGTTTTTTTTTTCTCTAACTTACTTTACTGTAAGAATACAATATATAATACATGTACAAAATATGTGTCAATTAACTGTTATTGGCAAGGCTTCCAGTCAACAGTTAGGCTATTAGTAAAGTTTTTGGGGAATCAGAAGTTATATGCGGATTTTTAATTGCAAAGGGGGTCAGCACCCCTAACCTCCACATTGTTTGAAGGTCAACTGTATGTATATCTTCCAGCAAACTGGCTAGCTCTCTCTGAGGCAGGGCAATCCCCCCCCCCTTCCTTAAAAAAAAAAAAAAAAAAAAGCTTTCACCATCACTGACGTGTGAGAGGGGTACTGATGCAGTTCAAAATCTGCAAATACCCCCATCCCTCCTTCAAAGTGCAGGCACCTACCACCCTGTATGTACTACATGTATTTTTGTGAAGCATACTGATATAATATGTTGTGTTTGTCATTAAGTTTGCAGATATTGTTTTGTAGCCATGCGTTTCAATATATAGTGATCATATCTTAACAGGACACCACATGAAAATTAAAGTCTATATATTCTCTTTTTATACTAAAGTATTATTCATTTTATTCCTTAAAATTCTTACAAACAACATATGGATTAAGAGAAATAATAATGTTTGTTATGCTTTTAAAATAACTCCGCAATCCTGGAACAAGGGATGGTGTAGGGGATCTTGTGGGGCTATACCACTGCTGCTGCCCTCACATTGAGTCAGCCAGAACTGGACTCGCCGCCAGCCTGGTTCATTCCCTGTACTTATAACTGGGCACCAGACTAGGGGACTGGACAGACCCAAGCACAGCACTTTTCCACAGGCCGAACCATCAATCCACTTTAGCTTTCCTACAGTTTATGTAAACTCCTAGACCACAAGTGATAACCACAACACTTAGGTTTAATGAATACAGAATTATAAAGGTCTTGCTGCTGGCCCCTAGGATGGAATTTTATACGGCCCATGGATGCGCTGTGCCAGCTGGCAGTCAGCTCAGAACAGTCCCAATGGAACTAGCTCAATGGCTCAGTAAATCTTAGTGCTATGATATGCATCAAGTGATTCACTCTATCGGGACGATTTCAAGAAGTAATAAACATTCTCTACTTAAAGCACATTTTGCAACGACATATCAACGACTTATCAAGAGATAAAACCATTTAAACAGCCTAGTAGTCCAGGTGGGCACACCAGGGAGGGCGCCATCATAACCTGAGGGTCAGGTCAGTATTGCTTATGAGCGGAGTCACGGGGGCTCGGGAGCCTCCGGGTGGGGGTTGGGAGGGCGAAGACATCCTCCCTGGCCGTTCACACGGACACCTACACCAAGGTGGACGTGACCTATAATACAGCAGTTACGTCGCCTCACTCACGCGGCCTCAGACACTACCACGCTTGGCACGGAGGAGAAAGGGGCACACCCCCGCTTCATAACATCAGCAGAAACCGCAGCCATCACTGGAGGCATATATCAGGTAAATAGCTACCGTCTTGCAACAGCCACTTAAGTCAATGCCCTCACTGTTTGGTTGACGGCTACTGCTGTACCCCGAGGACAACTTTGTACCACCACCACCAGCGGGCAGAAGTTCCCGAAAGCAAGCCTTATCAGTCGTGCAAATACTGTATTTAAATATTTTTTTTCTGAAGATTGAGAGGCAGTATTGCCTTTGCGTAAATCCAATCCCACTTCTTGTAGTGACTGCCGGCAGTCTTGTGGGTGCTGCCTCACTGGCTGTGACAGGTGGTGGGTGGTGCGCCCCTCAGGAAAATTACATATTTGGCAGGCTTGCTTTACCTTAGTACAATCGTGCTTTGTACCAAGTTGGCTTTGAACTTTAAACAAACAAAAATTCCAGGAGGCTAGTGTATTAGCAAAACAAAGGAACATAACAACAAATTAGGAAAAAAGCTTGTTAATTTCCGTTCCTATATGTGAGGTGTGTTCATGTCACCCATGACCTCTCTGTTTTCCAGAATTGCATGTACCGTAGTATGATTGTTCAGAAGTTTCTTTTGTTTATTTGTCAAGTATTTTCATGTGGTGTATCTTGTGCTGTTGGCTGTTCCTAGGCAACAACTATTTACTTCAACACATTTGACAAGGTTCTAATAAACTAGATTGCATCAGTAACCTCCTGTAGTGGAACTGTCCAGATAAAAGTTTAAAAAAATCTGAAAATTATCCAGATTTGGAATAAAAATTAACCTAGCTAGAAGAAACAATGCCAAATTGTTTAATAAATTTGCTTTTTGACAAAGCTTCAAGCACATCCGGGCCCCCTTTGTCAGTTCAAGGATACACATGTGCACACATTCTGATGTTATATGCAGGGAGAGAGAAGGGAGAAAAAACTTGGCATGTCATTTCCTCAGATTTCATTCTCATAGCAAATCTCCATTTGTTTGCTGCCGACCATTATAGCCTTAGGCAAATCTTGTTAAAGAAACAATAACTTAGTATGTACAGCACATAATTTTAATTAAGTATACTACTAAGACTTGGTATTATTGTAATTTAATATTAAGTGCATGCTCATCATGCCCAATCTCATCCACTCTTTATACTGGCATGTTAGGGGACCCGAGAATATCATGTCTGGCACTGGCCATCACTGGCACTGACCAATGACATGGTGAAGATGCATTAAGGAGTAGGAAATATACACAAACGGCATAGATCAGACACTGCTGTATATAATCAGCGAATATCGAAATGGACTATTCGCTGTTACTAAAAAAATGCAAGCTACTTTCTCAATTAGCTTACACGTTATATTACCAGAAAGTTATTGAATATTCTATACAGTTATTTCTAAATTCAACCCTGCCATGAGTAAATTCTCCATAAATAATCCCACTTGAGAAATAAGCTGGGTTTGTTTAGACATGCTGTAATCCCCAGTGTTTTGGCTCTGTAGTTTACTGTAGTCTTAAGTTTCTCTGGCTGCGGGTAGAGGGTGTGTGAGTGAAAGCCATGTCTGTAGATGGGAAGTTCAAGAAAAGTCATGTGTAATGTTATGTTCTCTGCTTGCAGTGAAAGGTATGTTAAATAATAAACAACTCAGATTTGCCATCATTAAAGCCCTAAATTAAGTACAGTGTGTTGCTGACTAGGATTTGCATTATGGAATTTTTTATTATTTTATGTCAAAACAAGACAGTTGATAACTCCCATTGGCAATTATTAGTGAGGAACACCTCAAATCTTTGCTTGAACTTCTTGTCTGCATGTTTTTTTTTAAATTTGGTCACTCAAAACTTTATTGAAATTACTGTCAAGAGGCAAAACAAATAGTGTGGCATAAACCAGGAGTATGAATAAGGGGACAGACAGAGCTTTTGTCATGTCCTGCTGCAATCATAAGCTAGGAGCTTTGCTAGCTCAGAATTGAACTAAGTATAACGACACCATTTTACCATCTACTTAAAAATAAGAAAATAAACTAAAAAAGAAAAAGTGAAAAAGCATTAAAATGCTATTCTAAAACACTTAAGACTCTGACAGTGGGGCAGTGTAACAAGCTGGGACTGTAAATATATCAAGTGCTTGTGAACATGTCTGCCCTGTTGCCAAAGCTTATCAATTTACACCTACATTTACCAACAATGTATCCTTGTTGCCACTAACATTGCCTCCTACTAACTTACATTGGGTCATCAGTGTAAGACTACTGTCAAAAGATCAGCCATTATTAACCTTGAAAGCAGATTCTATACAGCTTGTCAATCCATACCAAACAGACAGGACCAGCCTTATTGAAATTAACCATAGATTTAAGAATGTCGGATCCTTTGACGATTATTGCAACAAAGACCAGTTACCACTAGTTAGCTACATCATGATATTAACACACATGTCCATAATATCAGGTAAGATCCATGTTATAAGTTAACTGGTGACCTATACTTAACATACCAATGAGTGGATCAGTGTCCATCAAATATTAAGTGAACTGATCATTATTATAGAGTAAACAGTTCAAAAGTAATGTTGTGCCTAATCATGGAATAATTTTAGAAACATAACACACTATTGTTGAACAGTATTGTACATTCCACTGAATGAGCATATAGGATACACTAAATAAACTTCAGTATAAAGAGAAATGCAGTTATGGCTTCCTCAGTAGGACCTTTAGTCAAGGACTTACAATCTCAAACACAAAACTTTCATGTTTTGACTGATTTCAAATTCCATTCTGATATTTGTAAAGTTACCATGCTAAATTGATAGTTAAGCCATTACTGAAGTTTACCCAGTTTACCTACCTCATGTAATATGATTCAGAATAATGATAACGGTCATATAAAGAGAGCGTAGGACGGACAGTGGGATACTGCCCAAGCTTCCAACTCAGGGAGGGTTTATACTGCACTTATCCTACTTATGATAATTGCTGGGCTCCTCAGGAAAGACATTACAAGTATGATCACTTACACTTCATCCATCTAAAAATTAAGGGTCCAATAAAGCAACTTTTATGTGACAATATGCATAATGCAAAGAATACATTCAACTTTCAGCATTTGCACCATTTCAACAAAACTAATAAAAATCCAATAATTGTCTGGTAAAAAAAAAAAAAAAAAATGACTAATATTAAAAGCATAAAACATATGCAATGATTGGTAAGTGTATGTGTTTATATGGATGTGTGTGTGTGTGCGCACATATATTTATACACACACACACGTACATTCTTATACATGCATGAATAACTTGTATAACCTGAAGTGATCTGCATGCCTCAAAATGTCACTGACAATTCCCTGAAGGGTCCAGCGAGAAGAGAAACACTAGGTCCCCAACCTCTTTATGGGTGGGAAGCATGAAAGTCCCTAACAACCATCTCATGACCACATAGCCAGCAGTCTCTCCTAAATGCCATTAACTCCCAGAAACTATCACGTAAATACTAAGAATTCCATAGATGCTAATAATCTCTGGGAGTTAAGAACATAAGTAATTGTAAATAACTACTGGTAATTACTCACAATCAATGGGACTGTAAGCAACCCTAGCTAGATATTGACAACTATATTATTCCCTGCCTGGCTGCCAACAACCCTGGTGTACCCTGCAGGTTACTAAAGCAGCAATGAAGCTGAAATGACCCAGGTACAATGGGCCATTACTGCTGCTGCTGCTGTTTGTGGTAGGTAGTGGTGGTACTGGACCCTCACTCAGCCATCTTGTTAGGGATGTGTCTTGAAGATGAGAAGCAAAGCTTCATGATGAATGGAAACTTGCTGTCTGTTGACAGAAGAAATTCATTGCTCATTAAGGATAAACTATTTCAAATAATGAAAAATAAAAATTATAATATGCCTGAAAATATAAAAACCCACACTTTGGAAAGGAAAATTTAAAATAAATTTTGCCTCATGCTGGGCCCTATCAAGTAATGATGAAGGATGAAGTAGAACATTTTAATAAAAGTCTCCTGTAAAAATATGTTCATTAGTTGTGAATTACATAAACATCACAAAGTACAGCATTCAATAGAACACTTACTAGGGTTGGGAATGGGGGCATGATTACCAATCACCAGTGCCTCTAGGGCCTCAGAGATGTTAGCGAACTCAAGGAGTCCACTGGAGCTCCTCTCAGCTGTGAGGAATTAAAGATCTAGATAATGAAGTTGTTCTTAAGTTTACTTAATATGATTAAAATGACAAATACCAAAATTATTCACAAAAATATATCATGTACATTATATTTACAATATTTCAATGTAGCAAAAATGCCTCTGACATACACAAGCTGTATTTAAATTTCATTAATCCTAATCAAAATGGAATTAAGTTGTCATTCTTAATGCTAATTTTCTCAATTGCTATAAAAATTGAATGCTTGTAAAAGTCACATACAGCAGTGCCTGTCAAAGGATTTAAAAACAAAAATGTAATGGTGGTTAATAGAGATCCTTAGTCTCTCACACTTGTCACTCACACTTACTCTTTGATGGGAAAAGCTTGATGCTCTTGGGTTCAGTAACTTCCCCATCAATGAACACCTGTTTCAGTGCATCTTCCTCCAGTCCTGGAGGGGTGTTGAAGAAGTGCAGAATCTGCAAAGAACAGTAACTTGTTAAATAGTTTGCACTTGCATAGCTGCCATTCTTTTCTTTTTATGTCAAACAAATGTAATATTGCAGGCAAATCTTATGAGCTTTTCATTGTATTCTGAAAGTTTCTGTATTTACAAAGTGCTTTGATGTACAAAGTTATTAAATGCTATTAAAAAAATATGATCATACATACTAATACTTTCGAGTCAAAACCATACTAAAATTTAAGATCATTCAAACTACAGTGGAACTTCGGTTTTCATACTTAATCTGTTCCAGAAGGTCATTCTAAATCCGAAACATATGAAAACTGAAGCAATATTTCCCATAAGAAATAATGTAAATACAATTAATCCATTCCAGAAACCCAAAAATATTAACAAAAAAATAAATTTTTTAAAGAATAACTATAGTTTTACATACAGAAAACAATGAGAAATAAATATAAAGCACTAATGAAATGGATAAATGAACATTTAAATCACTATTACATACCTTTATTGAAGACTTGCTGGGAGGAGAGTTTGTTTGGAGACAGGACAAAATACTTAAATATGACATGCTAATATCAACTCTACTGCTTACTTGTCTATCACAATTCATCTAATTATTATTTTTTTTTATTATCACACTGGCCGATTCCCACCAAGGCAGGGTGGCCCGAAAAAGAAAAACTTTCACCATCATTCACTCCATCACTGTCTTGCCAGAAGGGTGCTTTACACTACAGTTTTTAAACTGCAACATTAACACCCCTCCTTCAGAGTGCAGGCACTGTACTTCCCATCTCCAGGACTCAAGTCCGGCCTGCCGGTTTCCCTGAACCCTTTCATAAATGTTACTTTGCTCACACTCCAACAGCACGTCAAGTATTAAAAACCATTTGTCTCCATGCACTCCTATCAAACACGCTCACACATGCCTGCTGGAAGTCCAAGCCCCTCGCACACAAAATGTCCTTTACCCCCTCCCTCCAACCTTTCCTAAGCCGACCCCTACCCCGCCTTCCTTCCACTACAGACTGATACACTCTTGAAGTTATTCTGTTTCGCTCCATTCTCTCCACATGTCCGAACCACCTCAACAACCCTTCCTCAGCCCTCTGGACAACAGTTTTGGTAATCCCGCACCTCCTCCTAACTTCCAAACTACGAATTCTCTGCATTATATTCACACCACACATTGCTCTCAGACATGACATCTCCACTGCCTCCAGCCTTCTCCTCGCTGCAACATTCATCACCCATGCTTCACACCCATATAATGTGATCTAATATGACATAATAAACAATATTAATCACATAGACACATGATATATACTCTATAACGAATAAAATGTCATTATGCATGTGAGGAGTGGTGGTGGTGTTGGGTTTATAAGGGCCACTGACAGCATAAGCCATACATATAATGGTGGTGGTGGTGGCAGCAGAGGCCACCACCACTATTCACACTGAAACAATGAACGTAATTTATAAATAAGAAAGATTTACCCTTCATAAATAAGAAATATTTACACTTACCCTGGAGGAGATGCTGGCATTGGTTTAGGGTGGTGTAAGATATGCAGGTGGCATATGTTATCAGTGGCCCTATACACCTCCAACAACATTGGAGTTAGTTAGTTTCATGCTGTCCTTTTTCTATCGCCATAGCCTTTATTAACTCCTGCTGCTTTAGTATCATACGTATCGTAGAATCACTGAAGAAGGCACATACTTCCCTCTCTCTCAGCCCTTTACCAAAGGGCTGGCAGGAGGAATTTTCTGTGGCCCATAGTGGCTTATTTCAGTCACAATCAATAAACAAGTGCAAAAATTGCAAAATGTTTTGGACGAATGCTCACTCAACCAGTGACAAAGTCAGACTGAAGGCACCCCGGGCAGGCAGACGTGTCTGATACGTACAATTTCCGGATTGAGGTCCAACATCCGGAATAAAATTTGCCCCCCCCCCCCCAAAAAAAAAGGGGGTTCTAAATCCAAGATGTCCATTATCCAGTACGTACGAAAACCGGAGTTCCACTGTAGTACTTTGGTTACATTCAGTAAACACTTCTTTTTTTTTTACTTGGTATTTATTCCTTTTTAAATGAGCAAGCCCAGTCTAAGACTGGGCATTGGCTGCAACAATTACCAAAGCCATTGACCAACACAAATGTATGCTTTCATAATACTACTACCCCTACAGATACACATTTATGAAATCTTCACCTAGTCTGACATAAAAGTGAAATTCCAATTTGAGGGTAACAAGGAATGATGAAAGATTACAAGAGCTGGCTTTTCTGTTTCTGGAAACAAAAGATACAAGTTTATATTTCTAGGCCTAAAAAAAAAAAAAAAAAAAAAAAAAAAAAAAAAGTGGTGACATGCCCAAATACTATCATATAATGGGATTCTCTGAAGCCTGACTGGTGTCATGGCACCCAGGGTCCCTTTACCACACGTTTATCAGTGTCATTCACTACAATATACAAATGTAAAAATTATAGCCAGAGTACATATCACAGTGGTACAAGAATGGCATACAATACCAACAAGATGAAATTCAAGAGTTCTATATAACGTAAGCACTATGCGAGTCTTAGAAAACATCAATTAAGGTTAGGACAGGAGATACCCAGTAAAAAATGACTGAAGATACATAAAACACTAGTTTGGTAATCTCCAGCAGGCAAGGGTGAATTCCTCATGTGGTTTGTGGTTACCTAGTGGGTAAACTGACAAAAATTATGCATAGTGTTGTATCCCAATTCCATGCATTAATTTTGTCTTGCTAGTTTTTTTTTAGTTATACTTCTTCCAACACAGTAAGAATAGTGTGTATATCAAGGTCATATAATACAAGGATTAAGTATCTACCTTTGAAGGAGGCTGTATCCTGTTCTTTGAAGCCATTTCTGGGTTAATGAATCTATTGTTCTTATTCCCCATGTAGTCCTTGAATGATGGGGTACCGTCTGGTAGATCATAAGGTTGCTGTACATCAGCCAAAAATGCCTGCTTAGAATACCTGAAAGAAATAATTTTATTTTATTCACATAATCAATGTTGCTTGTATAGTTTACTAGTAGCACAGTAAAGGAAAAATTATAATTCTTGCCATTGGAAGAGTGAAGATAAAGTTGTAATATACCAGTTTTGTATTTCACAATTAAATAAATATTTGAGCATGAGCGAGTGTCATTTTGCAGTAAGGGAAGAGAAATGGTCGAGTGTAAACGTACTATTCATGTGAGAGGAAAATAAGTATAGTACCATCTGTGCCTTCTGAAAAAGACTAGTAGGAGGTTTTGTCTATGAACATGTGAAGAGAACTACAGAGCTATTAACCCTTTCAGGGTTGAGAGGCCCTCTCCTAAACTCGTTCACAAGGGCCGACAGAATTTTAGTGCCCGGGGGGGGGGGGGGGGGGGGGACCTTACAAAATTATAATCTTTTCCCGATCATAATGATACCAAAAGTATGAAATTTGATGGAGAACTTACAGAATTATGCTCTTGCAAAGTCAGCGGTCTCGACGATGTTTACGCATCAGCAATTTTGTGCACTTTGAGCCCTATTTTTGGCCAATTCCAGTGTACTAGTCGACAAAAATCATACCTATTTTGCTAGAACTCCATTTTTTCTATTGAATGAGTACAAGAAACCACCCATTTACTGATTTCAACTATCCAATAAAGTGGTCAGAAATTGGCAATTTTGCCAATTTCACACAAATGTCAGAAAATGCCAATTTACAAATAGGGTCCAGAATAAACAAGACAGACATTCCTGGCACTAAAATAACATTTTCTCTGTTCATTAGTCACGTCCCCAGGCCCCTCTTACATCTCTCTTGCTTTCCACTTCGAATTTTTATTCTCACAAAAAATAGAAGATTTACTGTTTTGTAGACTACTGCATTGGTGTAGAAATTGTATAAATAATATCAGCGCACTTGTGAAAGAATATTAGACTTACCAGTTGACGTGTATTGGACGCTTGGCATGATTTGTTTACTTTTGAACTTTGGTAAAAATCGAACATTTCTGCTACTTTGAGCTCAATTTCAAGGTACATACTTTCATTATGAAACCAATCAAAATCATCTCAATTTCTGTAATATGTCTTCCATTCTATAAAATGAGACCAGAAAAACTAAAATACAACCATAAATACCATACGAAAATACACTGGAAAGTCGCTGTTTTAAACCAAAAAAAGTTCTTTTTTTTCTCATTATGCACTGTGTGCTGCAGGATTCTTTTTATACTGTGCACACTGACCACATAGACCCATTCTTTCATATGTAGGCCTACCAGCTTTCTCTCGCTAGATTTGAAGGCACTAGAATTTAGGCATACTAGTATGTCAATAACCCTGGTGCGTAAGGCGTACTAGTATGTCAATAACCCTGGTACATAAGGCGTACTAGTATGTCAATAACCCTGGTGCGTAAGTCGTACTAGTACGTCAGAAACCCTGAAAGGGTTAATCTTGTCCCCCAGGATGTGACCCACACTAGTCGACTAACACCCAGGTGAAAAGGAAAAATATGCCTGGAACTAGAGCTCATATTGGTGAATTTAAAGCCAACAAAGGTTGGTTTGAGAAATTTAAGAATCGTAGTGGTAAACACAGTGTGATAAGGCCTGTTCTGGAAGAAAATGCCAAACAGGACCTACATTACTCAGGAGGAAAAGGCACTCCTAGGACACATCACTCATCACCACATCTTCAATAAAGGTAAGTGTCATTTATTCTTCATTTACTACACTAATACATGCACAATATATATTGTGCATGTATCCTTCCTTTTGTGTAGGAAAATGTATATTTCATGTGGTAAAATATTTTTTTCATACTTTTGGGTGTCTTGAATGGATTAATTTGATTTCCATTATTTCTTATGGGGAAAATTAATTCGACTTACAATAATTTCGTCATACTCTGTGCTCTCTGGAACGGATTAATATCGTAAGTCAGGGGCCCACTGTAATTGTTTTACATGATGGTAGGATTGCTGGTGTGTTTGTCTCATAAACATTCAAGGTTTCAGGTACGTCATGCTACTTCTACTCATATTTAGGTCACACTACACATGCATGTACAGGCATATATACACACCCCTCTGGGTTTTCTTCTATTTTCTTACTAGTTCTTGTTTATTTCTGCTTATCTCCATGGGAAAGTGGAACAGAATTCTTCCTCCATAAGCCATGCATGTCGAAAGAGACAACTAAAATGCTGGAACCATGGGCCTAGTAACCCCTTCTCCTTTATATATTACTAAATTTAAAAGGAGAAACTTTCATTTCTCCGTCTGAGCCACCCTACCTTAGTGGGATCCGGCCGGTTTGTTGAAAGATGATGTAAAGGAAGGAAATTAAAAGTAAACATAGGGAAGAGCAAGGTGACGCGGGTTACAAACTGAATTAGGTAATGAAAGACTGAATATCAGATGGGAAGAAAGGGAGATGGGAGGAAGTGAATGTGTTCAGATATTTGGGAATGAACTTGTCGGCCGATGAGTATATGAAAGACAAGGTGAACCATAGAACTGATGAAGGGAAAAAGCTAGGTGGTGCACTGAGGCATTTGGAGACAAAGAATATTATCTACGGAGGCACAGAGGGAAATGAATAAGAGTATGGCGGTAACAACACTCCCATATGGGTGTGAAGCATGGGTTGTGAATGTGGCAGTGTAGATGTTGTGTAACTACAGTGGAACCTTAGTACTCGAACAGCTCCCTACTTGAACAATTCAGTATTCGAACTCTTTGTTTGGTGTGTATAAAAAAAAAAAAAAAAAAAAAAAAAAAAATCGCTTGGTTGTCAACCATTGGCCTAAGAAGATTAGTGATAACCAACCAAAAAGACAATTGGATGGGAAAAATTAGCTTGGTACTCTAACAAATAAGCACTCAAACAGTCTTCTGGAACGAATTTAGTTCGAGTACTGAGGTTCCACTGTATTACGCAGAGAATTTGTCACTTCGAGATTAGGAGGAGTTGCAGAGTTACTAGAAGTATTATCCAGAGGGATGCAGAGGGGTTCTTAAGGTGGTATGGACATTAAGAGAATGGAGCAAAATAGGATGACTTGAACGATGCATAAATCTGTATTGGAGGGAAGGCAGGGTAGGGTCACACTAGGAAAGGTTGGATTGGATAAGAGAGATTCTGTGCGAGAGAAGGCTTCAACAGTCAGCAGACACATGTGAGCATGTTAGATATGAGTGGGGGCAAATGATTTTTGTTGATTAGCCAGACTTAAGAGTCCTGGAGATGGGAAGTACAGCATCTGCATTCTGAAGGAGGGATGAGGATAATTCCAATTTCAAGGGGCATTTGAGCTGTAGTTTTGGTGTGCCTTTGGCAAGACAGCAATGGAGTGAATGATGGTGAAAGGTTTTCTCAGGTCACCCTACCTTGGTGTGAGACAGCCAGTATGTTAAAAAATAAATTACGTTATGGACAAACAAGATTTGGGTATGAAAAATCCAGCAAGCACATTTTGAATGAAATTCTGTGGACCATGTTAAAAGAAAGAAGTTGTAACAAAAGAGGAAAGTTAGGTGATAATGTAGTTACTGGACTAAAGGAGGGTTGGGAATGTTGCCATGCCTCACAACAAAGTGAAAGGCTAACAGTGATGCTTCTGTTGTCTGTGAAAGGTCAGGTATTGCACAGGAGATACCTTTCACAAAAGACCAAGTTAACAAATATGGAGGTTTCCTCTTTACAGCATTCATTTTGCTGTTACACCATTAAGGGATAGTTTTTAAGGTTATTCAAGTGTAGAATGATTGGGACAAACATAAAACTTACCCTAGCTGCATCTTGCACCCGAAGAATGTGGTGTTGTGAAGGTTTGCAACAGCACGCTCTACAGCAAGTGCATCTCCCATCTGCACCATTGCACAACCTTCCTTTGTTTTCAAGAACTTAATCTGTAATAAAAAAGGAGTGCTAAATAGCTCCATGTTTAAAATTATTTACCTTATGATTAATAATAAATTTGGTATTAAAGCCTCTCCTCATATAATGGAGGAGTTCCGTTCCTTAGATCATGTCGGTAAACGAATTTGTCGCTGAGCAAGAAGCATACTATAATGGTAGTGGGTTTCTGTTAACCATCTTTGATATTGTTTTAATGTTACCTCTGCACCACTTGTAACATTTTTAGTATTTTTTTTAATTAACACATCAGCTGATTCCCACCAAGGCAGGATGGCCCGAAAAAGAAAAACTTTCATCATCATTCACTCCATCAGTCTTGCCAGAGGGGTGATTTACACTACAGTTATAAAACTGCAACATTAACACCCTTCCTTCAGAGTGTAGACACTGTACTTCCCATCTCCAGGACTCAAATCCTGCCTGCCGGTTTCCCTGAATCCCTTCATAAATGTTACTTTGCTCACACTCCAACAGCATGTCAAGTATTAAAAACCAATTGTCTCCATTCTCCAAGCCTCTCGCACACAAAACCTCCTTTACCCCCTCCCTCCGACCTTTCCTAGGCCGACCCCTACCCTGCCTTCCCTCCCCTACAGATTTATACACTCTTGAAGTCATTCTACTTTCTTCCATCCTCTCTACATGTCCAAACCACCTCAACAACCCCTCCTCAGCCCTCTGGATAATAGTTTTGGTAATCCCACACCTTCTCCTAATTTCCAAACTATGAATTCTCTGCATTATATTCACACCACACACTGCCCTCAGACATGACATCTCCACTGCCTCCAGCCTTCTCCTCGTTATACTGCACTTCACCACCCATAAAAGTGTGTTGGTACAATTATACTCTCATATATTCCCCTCTTTGCTTCCACGGACAAAGTTATTTGTCTCCACAAACTCTGAAGTGCACCACTTACCCTTTTTCTCACATCAATTCTATGATTCACCTCATCCTTCATAGACCCATCTGCTGACATGTCCACTCCTAAATATCTGAATACATTCACCTCCTCCATACTCTCTCCCTCCAATCTGATATCAAATCTTTCGTCACCTAATCTCTTTCCTATATTCACTGTCAATTTTCTTCTTTTACATACCCTACCAAATTCATCCACTAACCTCTGCAACTTCTCTTCAGAATCTCCCAAAAGCAGTGTCATCAGCAAAGAGCAACTGTGACAACTGCCACTTTCTGTTTGATTCTTTATCTTTTAACGCCACACCTCTTGCCAAGACCCTCGCATTCACTTCTCTTACAATCCCATCTATAAATATATTGAACAACCATGGTGATATCACACATCCTTGTCTAAGGCCTACTTTTACTGGGAAATAATCTCCCTCTCTCCTACATACTCTAACCTGAGCCTCAATATCCTCGTAAAAACTCTTCACTGCTTTCAGTAACCCACCTCCTATACCATACACCTGCAACATCTGCCACATTGCCACCCTATCCACCCTGTCATATGCCTTTTCCAAATCCATAAATGCCACAAAAACCTCTTTACCCTTATCTAAATACTGTTCACCTATATGTTTCACTGTTAACACTTGGTCTACACACCCCCTACCTTTCCTCAGGCCTCCTTGTTCATCTGCTATCCTACTCTCCCTCTTCCTCTTAATTCTTTCAATGATGACTACCATACACTTTACCAGGTATACTCAACAGACTTATTCCCCTATAATTTTTGCACTCTCTTTTATCCCCTTTGCCTTTATATAAAGGAACTATGCATGCTCTCTGCCAATCCCTAGGTACGTTACCCTCTTCTATACATTTATTAAATAATAGCACCAACCACTCCAAATCTATATTCCCTCCTGGCAGTCTTCAAGCTGGCACTGGACAAGCACCTAAAGTTGGTTCCTGACCAGCCGGGCTGTGGCTCGTATGTTGGTTTGCGTGCAGCCAGCAGTAACAGCCTGGTTGATCAGGCTCTGATCCACCAGGCAGCCTGGTCACAGACCGGGCCGCGTGGGCATTGACCCCCAGAACTCTCTCCAGGTAAACTCCTCCTGCTTTTAACATTTCTATCTTTATCCCATCAATCCCAGCTGCCTTACCCCCTTTCATTCTACCCAATGCCTCACAAACTTCCCCCACACTCACAACTGACTCTTCCTCACTCCTACAACATGTTATTCCTCCTTGCCCTATACACAAAATCACAGCTTCCCTATCTTCATCAACACAACAATTCCTCAAAATATTCCCTCCATCTTCCCGATACCTCTAACTATCCTCTCCTATTTTTTAACTGTCAAATCCATTTGTTCCCTAGGTTTCCTCAACTTATTAATCTCACTCCAAAACTTTTTATTTTCAACAAAATTTGTTGATAACATCTCACCCACTCCTTAACCTCTCTTTTTCTCTCCATATACTCTTTCCTCCTTGCCTCACTTCTACTTTGTAAAAACCTCTCATATGCTAAATTTTTCTACCTTGCTACCCTCTTTACATCATCATTCCAACAATCGCTTTTCTTCCCTCCCACACCCACTTTCCTGTAACCACAAACTACTGCTGAACACTAACACTACATTCTTAAACCTACCCCATACATCTTCGACCCCATTGCCTATACTCTCACTAGCCCATCTATCTTTCAATAGTTGTTTACATCTTACCCTAACTGCCTCCTCTTTTAGTTTATACACCTTCACCTCTCTCTTACTTGCTGCTTCTATTTTCTTTGTATCCCATCTACCTTTTACTCTCACTGTAGCTATAACTAGAAAGTGATCTGATATATCTGTGGCCCCTCTATAAACATGTACATCCTGAAGTCTACTCAACAGTCTTTTATCTACCAATACATAGTACAACAAACTACTGTCATTTCGCCCTACATCATATCTTGTATACTTATTTATCCTCTTTTTCTTAAAATATGTATTACCTATAACTAAACCACTTTCTATACAAAGTTCAATCAAAGGGCTCCCATTATCATTTACACCTGGCACCCCAAACTTACCTACCACACCCTCTCTAAATGTTTCTCCTACTTTAGCATTTAGGTCCCCTACCACAATTACTCTCTCACTTGGTTCAAAGGCTCCTATACATTCGCATAACATCTCCCAAAATCTCTCTCTCTCTCCTCTACACTCCTCTTTTTTCCAGGTGCATACATGCTTATTATGACCCACTCTTAGTATACTTTTAAATATTTATTGTAATAAACAGAACAGAGAAAATCAGCTCTAATATATATTATTTAGGTATGCATACTGGTCAGAGAGCCCATCATAAGTCAGAATCGTCGGTAAACGAGTACATCGCTAAGTGAGGAGAGGTTATATATTAAACTAACAATCAGAATCCTTTACAAATTTTAAATGTATCAAGAATTTATAATTGCAAAATGTAAATTTAACATTTATACACAAATGATTACTATTTTTCTTACCCTCACAATGTTGCCATACAAGCAAAGCAAGTTGAAGATGCGATCAGCATTCATCTTATCCTTGTTAAGTCCATAAACCATAAGAACAGCACCCTGCTGGGGCAGACCAGGCTGTGGCTGGCCCATTCCTGAAAGAGATGCACCCCCAGGACCACCAGCTCCACCCATAAAAGGTCCACCCTGACCCTGACCCCCAGCACCCATCAGTCCACCACCACCACGTAGCCCACCATTGCTCATGCCGTTGTTTAACCCAAGCCTGGAAATTGGGGAAGTTTTTAAGAATTATCAGTCATCAATTACATAAACATTTTATTTTAATGTTTGTGAATTTTGGCTATTTTATACCATAATTTCTCTTAATTTGTAGAACAGGATTTTTTTTAACACATCAGCCAAAGTGCAGGAGAAAAAAATTCCACCATGTTTTTTTAGATGCATAAAGATTTCCCTGATCCACTGAAATAATATCCTCACTAACCATCCTAGTGCAGTCACTAAGTGCAGAAAAGCTATATACAGAAAATACAAAAGCCCTCTAACATTCAATAAACTACAGTAGAATCCTATTAAACAATATACAAATTAAAGTTTTTATAAAATTAAAGATATTATATTATTAGTCATTTAAAATATGTTTTACATATAAATTATACTTAAAAATACCTCAAAGCATGATTAACACAATGTACAAAATTGCTACACAATAGGAAATGAGAAACCCAAGTTACCTGTCTGGCATAGGGCTACTGAAGAGACTTCCAGAACTGCGAGGTCCACCCATCTGACCATTCATACCACCTCCTGAAAATAAAAAAGAAAATCTTAAAAAATTTACTATCAAAGGGTTATGCTGGTTTTACCATCCATGCTTAACAAGCATCATTATTTTTTCAAATACTTTTATTCTAAAGTTCTTCTATTAACAATTCTTTATTTATTCAGTCCTGCTTCTAATGTACTGTAATTATCCCATAACTAAACAATTTTGACAACCCCCCAAAAAATAAAAATAAAGAAACCCATATTCAAGACAACATGGTATGAACATTTCAGTGCACACAATTCTGTATATGTAATTGCTACTCGTCTAACTAATTGCTACTCGTGTAACTAATAGTTTGTGCTCAAGCATGTTGATACAATGTTCTCTTGTTGTGCCTGGTAAAAAGCCCCTGCTTTTCACTTAGTTTATTTTACATTTACTCCCATATCTCACTCCAATGAGTTATGGTAGTGTGCATATTTTGGACAAGACATGCAAGTATCTCATCTTAATAGATACTAATTGTTTTCATTTTTTAATTTAACAATTTAACTTCTTGTTGAACTCTATAGCTTCTTCCTATTAGAGCTTGCAGAGAACTCTAATGCTTTGTTCCATTGCTTAACTTTATAACAAATACATATCTGTTTTTGAATCCCTGAAGAGTCCAAAACCACTAATTTTAATTTACAACTTTAATGTTGAAGGAATGTTTCCTAGTAACTCTGCAGTGCATAATTAAACACCATTCTCTACTGTACTTGCTATAGCACTAATTAACTTTATGCCCCCAGAGTAATTTTTTGTGATGAAACTAACTTCTTAGACTTTATTATTTCTATGACTGAAGGCCATCTATCATTCTCTATTGCTCATTTCCCTAACATTAAGAATCAGTCTGAATGCACTCCTTTGGAGCTTTCCCTTTTTACTAGGCAAGGGTTCCTTCCACACCAGCAATACAGGCACACTAAAAAAATGATCAATCTACAAAGTGAATTGTTCTAACAGTCTTTCTCTAGGTTCCTGAATGGTTGGCCTCTGTTAACATTAGTCTACCTTTGAGAATGTCATGGAACAGGTTTTGGGTAATAGTAATTTGTATGTTTGTATGTGAAATTGCAGTTCCTGGCCCAACCTCTAATCATCGGCATAAGTTCATGGTCTCTCAGGTCCACTCATACCTATTCTTAGTATAGGTTTGCCTCGTCTCTCTCCATTTGATTGATTTCAGTGATTTCTGGCCTCCAAAGCCAGATCCTATCTACTCATGAAATTGTATCAGCTTCGCTTCAGTGTCATCTAGTGCATTCCATTTGCCATCATAAGACAAGAATACTTTCTGAAGCCTCTAGTGCTCATCTTTGTCTTGATCTGCCATATAGGTAATAAGGCCCCTACTTCTCACATCTCAAATAGTCTGTCCCTGTTAGTATTTTATGTCATGAACTCAAATTAAATTGTAATAAACAACTGTCGATAAATTTTATGTTATGATTATGTTCTCTTGTAGATTACTCTTCAGGGGTGAGTCTTTTAAGTTTCTTCTAGCATCTGCACAACATATTCCTCAGTTCTATGTCCAGTCTAATTGCAAACTTTCCAGACTAAACACTGTATGTGCACAAACATACATCGGGTGCATACAAATGCACATTTTGCATATATGTTCATGCACAAGATGCTTGCATCTGAGGTGAATGTGTGGGTGTGGGTGTGTGGTGGTGTGTGGTGGTGGTGGAGGTGGATGTGTTTGGTGGTGGTGGATGTGTGTGGTGGTGGTGGATGTGTGTGGTGGTGGTGATGTGTGTGGTGGTGGTGGTGAGTGTGTGTGGTGGTGGTGGTTGGTGGTTGGTGGTGGTGGGGACGTGGGGGTGGTTGTGGTGGACGTTGTGTGTGGTGGTGGGGTGGACGTGTGTGGTGGTGGTGCTTGTGTTGTGGTGGTGCTTGTGTGTGTGGTGGTGCTTGTGTGTGTGGTGGTGGTGGTGCTTGTGTGTGTGGTGGTGGTGGTGCTTGGTGTGTGGTGGTGGTGCTTGTGTGTGTGGTGGTTGTGTGTGTGGTTGTGTGGTGTGTGTGGTGGTGGTGTTGTGCTTGTGGTGTGGTGGTGCTTGTGTGTGTGGTGGTGGTGCTTGTGTGTGTGGTGATGTGCTTGTGTGTGTTGGTGGTGCTTGTTGTGTGTGGTGATGCTTGTGTGTGTGGTGGTGCTTGTGTGTGGTGGTGCTTGTGTGTGGTGGTGCTTGTATGTGGTGGTTGTGTGTGGTGGTTGTGGTGCTTGTGGTGGTGGTGGCGGTGGTTGTGTGGTGTGGTTTGTGCGGTGGTGGTTGTGTCGTGGAGTTGTGTGGTAGTGGTGGTTGTGTGTGTGGTGGTGGTGGTTGTGTGTTTTTGGGGAGTTGGTTGTGTGTGTGGTGGTGGTTGTGTGTCGTGGTGGTGGTTGTGTGTCGTGGTGTGTGGTGGTGTGTGTAGTGGTGTGGTGTGGTGGTGGTGGTGGTGTGGGTGGTGGTGTTGGTGGTGGTGGTGTGTGGTGGTGGTGGTGTGTGTTGGTGGTGTGTGTGTGGTGTGTGGTGGTGTGTGGTGGTGGTGTGTGGTGGTGGTGTGTGGTTGGTGGTGGGGTGGTGGTGTGTGGTGGTGGTGTGTGGTGGTGTGTGTGTGGTGGTGGTGTGTGTGGTGGTGTGTGTGTGGTGTGTGGTGGTGGTGTTGTGGTGGTGGTGTGTGGTGGTGGTGTGTGTGTGGTGTGGTGTGTGGGTGGTTGTTGTGGTGTGTTTGTGTGATGGGGTGGTTGTGTGTGTGTGTGTGTGAGTGTGTGGTTGTGTGGTTGTGTGTGTGGTGTTGTTGTGTGTGTGTGTGGGTGTGTGTGTGTGGGTGGTGTGTGGTGTGTGTGTGTGTGTGGGGTGGTGTGTGGGGTGTGTGTGGTGTGTGTGTGGTGTTGTGTGTGTGTGTGTGGGGGTGTGTGTTGTGTGTGTGAGGGTGTGTGTGTGTGTGGTGTGGGTGTGTGTTGTGGTGGTGTGTGGGGTGTGTTGTGTGGGGTGTGGTGTGTGGGGTGTGTGTGTGGGGTGTGTGTGTGGGGTGTGTGTGTGGGTGTGTGTGGTGTGGGGGGGTGTGTGTGTGGGTGGTTGTGGGGGTGTGGGTGGGGGTGTGGTGTGGGGGTGTGTGTGGGGTGTGTGTGGGGTGTGTGTGGGGTGTGTGTGTGGGGGGTGTGTGGGGTGTGGGGGTGTGTGTGGTGGTGTGTGTGGTGTTTGTTTTGGATACAGCGGGTTGGGGTTGCTGGGGTACAGGGGGGCCGGGGGTTGTGTGGGGTACAGCGGGGGCTGGGGCGTTGTGTTGGGGTACAGGGGGGGCGGGTGTGGTTAGGGTAATCAGGTGGGCTGGGGTGGGCGTAGGGGTCGCAGGGGTGGGGTGTGGTGTAGGTGTACTGCGGGGGCGTGTGTGGCGAGGGGTACAGCAGGGGCGGGGGTGTGGTGTAAGGGACAGCGGGGGTCGGGGTGTGGTGTAGGGGGTACAGCAGGTTGGGTGGGTGTAGGGGTAGCAGGGTCGGGGGTGTGGTGTAGGGAACAGGGGCGGGGTGTGGTGTAGGGGTAAGCAGGGCCGGGGTTTTGGTGTAGGGGTAAAGGGGCCGGGGGTGGGGTAGGGGTACAGCAGGGGCCGGGGTGTGGTGTAAGGGTACATGGGGGTTGGGGTGTAGTAAGGGGTACAGAAGGGGCCCGGGTGTGGGGTAGGGGTACAGCAGGGGCCAGGGTGTGGTGTAGGCGGGACAGCAGGGGCCAGGGTGTGGTGTAGGCGTACAGCGGGGCCAGGGTGTGTAGGCGTTTCAGCAGGGGCAGGGTGTGTAGGGTCAGCAGGGTTCGGGGTGGGGGGGTTGGGGGTTAAGGGGATTCGGGGTGTGGTTGAGGGGGCAGCGGGGGTCAGGGTGTGGGTAGGAGTACAGCAGGGGGTGGTGTAGGGGTACGCGGGGGGTTCGGGGTGTGGTGTTGGGGTACAGCGGGGTTCGGGGTGTGGTGTAGGGGCACAGCGGGGGCGGGTGTGTAGGGGCACAGCGGGGGCCGGGGGTTTTGGTGTAGGGGCACAGCGGGGCGGGGGTGGGTGTAGGGGTACAGCGGGGGCCGGGGGGTGGTGTAGGGGTACAGCGGGGACCGGGGTGTGGTGTTGGGACATAGCCGGGGCCGGGGTGTGGGTGTAGGGGTACAGCCAGGGCCCGGGGGGTGGGTTTTAGGGGTACAGCAGGGGCCGGGGTGTGGTGGCAGGGGTACAGCAGGGGCCCGGGGGGTGGTGCAGGGGTTTCGCAGGGCCGGGGTTTTGGGTGCAGGGGTACAGCAGGGGCCGGGGGGGTGGTGTAGGGGTACAGCAGGGGCCGGGGTGTGGTGTAGGGGACAGCAGGGGCCGGGGTGTGGTGTAGGGGTACAGCAGGGGGGCCGGGGTGTGGGGTAGGGGTTACAGCCAGGGGGAGGGGGTGTGGTGTAAGGGTACAGCAGGGGCCGGGGTGTGGTGTAGGGGTACAGCAGGGGCCGGGGTGTGGTGTAGGGGTACAGCAGGGGCCGGGGTGTGGTGTAGGGGTACAGCAGGGGTCGGGGGTGTGGTGTAGGGGTACAGTAGGGGCCGGGGTGTGGTGTAGGGGTACAGTAGGGGCCGGGGTGTGGTGTAGGGGTACAGTAGGGGCCGGGGTGTGGTGTAGGGGTACAGCAGGGGCCGGGGTGTGGTGTAGGGGTACAGCAGGGGCCGGGGTGTGGTGTAGGGGTACTGCAGGGGCCGGGGTGTGGTGTAGGGGTACAGTAGGGGCCGGGGTGTGGTGTAGGGGTACAGCAGGGGCCGGGGTGTGGTGTAGGGGTTCTGCGGGGGTCGGGGTGTGGTGTGAACTTACTGCTGAATGGGGTAACATTCATTCCAAATCCACGAGGCTCTTGCAGCAGAGGAGGGCGGGAAGAGCCGCCACCGCCGCCACCACCACTACTGTTCTGTGGTTCCTTCGACCCTGTAATGATGCAAAAAAAAATTATTTTTGTTTTCCAAGTAAGTTTTATCATGCCCACTTACAAGGTTATTAGTAGGTATTCTCTCTCACTCTCTCCCTCCTCTTTTGGTTATCGTTAGGAAGCATCAATTGATACTATTTTACCATTTGTATTGTCTTCACAACAAGTATTGAAGAAATGATGTCAACTCATCCGATGAGAGCTCTGGGTCACATGACTTCAACTGGACCCGTTTTAAAATTAACCATAAGGATATGCCTAAAAAACACGTCGAAGTAAATTAGGCTAAAATCCTATCAAAATAGTTATCATCGAACAGCACAACAGACCAATGGCTATCAAATAGGGTAAATTATACTAAAAACTCTCCTCAAAGTTTATTACTGCATGTTTACATAGGACCAACACTAATTGTGTAGGTCAAAACAGTCATTTCGTGAAGTATAATTTGTATTAATGTAGTGCATTATTAATGCTTCCTTACTAGACCCACGGCTGGATGACAAATATCATTAAAGAGAATAACTTCCAACCTTCACAACTCCATGTACGGTTAAATGTGTGAAGGACTGATATTACCAGCCAAAGATAGTGTTAAACAAGAACAAAATAGGTAGATTGTCGTTTCACTTCAGCAGAATACTCAAGAAGATATACATTACAAGAATTTAACTCCAGTCAGGATAGGTGCATTTCGTTTTCTCTTAATTAATCAAGAAGGGTAAATGAATTAAGCACGTGTTGGGTAACGTAACTACAGAGATAAGAGGCAGCCACAACGATGAAACTTATTTACAGAATATGTGTACTTAATTAAGGTATCAACAGCTCTTACGACATTTAACGCGAGAATACATGCTTTTAGAGAAAATGGTTCCAACCTCCAAGTAATCTGCAAGTACAGGAAAGAAATAGGAACTCTGTACGGTACATTAAGATTATACGTGTTCTCTATTCTTTTTATATTTACGAGATTACAGATTTTCAAGAAACGGAATATATATTACTAAGAAAACTGTAATCAATGATATTAAGGTTCTAAAGCCATTAGATCTCTCTCTACCTTTAACTAGCGAGACCTCATTTACGAACAACACTAATTACAATTTGTGGGAAAAATAAAGTACTACTGTACGCTGACCTAAACTACCCCCTGACGCCAGGCAGCCGGGGCTAGGTATTATACTATCGCTGTTAGTAGGAATATCTTTACATAAAATAATAATCTGCACTCTAATTCTTCGTGCAATAACATATGAAAAATGTAATTCAACAATTGTCCTTATACGTGTATATAATACTACATTCATACATATAAAAGTATGCCAAGCTTGGGAGCACTGCCACAAAAAATAAAGCTAGAACTCCACCCCTTGCACTCAAGATGGGCTAAAAGAAGAGGAGAGGTGTAGTAGTGGAGCAAGTAGTAATAAAACAGAGTGGTGTGGGTGGGTGTTGCGAACATGGTGTGAGTCATGATCAAGACCAAGCTGGGACCAGGCCAACTATCTGGGCCAGTGTTCACCACCATGACGCACTCTTTGGCACTAGATCCACTACCACAACTGCATTATTACAGCTTTGTACCACGCCGCCCACGCCATATACTCTCATTCCCTCCTCAATTTTCACACCTGCACTCACATTTTAGTCTGATACCTTTACTGCAAAACACTGTTCCCTGTATTCATACAATTCTCACAACATACATTTTCCACCTACCAACAAAACACACACCCATACAATTCTCATGCATTTTATCTACCTACCTGCAAAACAATACCCCATACCATTTTTCTCAACATATATTTCCCCCACCTACGTGCAAGGCATCTCGTTCACTAATTTATTAAGAAAGCTCTTCAAAAGCCACAATGTCACCTCTACTCACTGACGATCACAGAAACCTTCGTACATTAATACTGCACGCAGCCTATAATTATATGTGGAGAGTTGGCCGAGCACCTTTAACAGGCCGCTTAGGGTTACCTATAGGTTACGTTAAACGTTTCAGGACGTTTATTTGTGGTTTTATCTGTGACCGGTTTTCAATTACCCCTATTCCCGCAGCTCGGCCCGTGGCCAGGCTTCCTGTTGACTGCCTGGTCAACTAGGTTGTTGCTGTTGGCAGCCCGCCGGCCAACAAATCCATCACAGCCTGGTTCATCTGGCACTTGGAGGTAATGATTCAGTTTTTTCATAAATATTTCTACACTTGTGCTGGCAATATTTCTTGTATCTGCTGGATGGCAGATCAACAAGTTGAGGTTCACGCTGTTGACAATAGTCTTGAACTGTGCCCGTGGTTTCCCTCCAGTATGTTATGGAAATGGATATAAATGGTATAAAATACCGACACAAAGGAAATGTTAGATTTCGGATCACGCCCTCCACTATCTTCACAAAATTTATCTCGCCTACCCAGAGAGTAGGCGTGAGATGTTTAATTGCAGTAAACGCTCAATGTATATTTTCCAGCCCTGCTCTCTCCCGTCTTGAACGGAGCCATCAACACACGGTAGTACTCTATGCAGGAGAGAGCACAAGCGATTCGAATAGTGACACCTTTAGCATTAGTTATCTCTAATATTTTCATTATGTACACCTGTCATTTTCTTAGCTTTCGCTCTTTAAAGACAGATCAGCTGACTTCTTTATTCTTCCTATATCTGAGCAATGGGAATTTGTCCCTACTGAACATGTCATTTCCGACAGCCTACTGGAAGGTTTTGTCTATACCCTCTTGCATTGGTTTGATATTTTCTACTACAATAATTTTCATGTAATTTTTTTAATCGTCTGCAAAGGATGATACAAAACTGCATTTTGCATTTTTATCAGTTTATGAGGATGAGGCACCAGGAGTGTGCCTTGGGGTACTGACGTTCTTACTTTGCCAAGGCTATGGCTACTGTACTGTTTTATACGTTAGAAAATGGAAAATACATTTCCCTACTCTTCTTGTTATACCCATTCTTCTTATTTTGTGTGTTGTTACTACTTGGTCATATTTGTCAAATGTCTGCATTGTGGGGTCTGCCTGGAGGTTATTCCGGGGATCAACGCCCCCGCGGCCCGGTCCACGACCAAGCCTCCCGGTGGATCAGGGCCTGATCAACCAGGCTGTTACTGCTGGTCGCACGTAGTCCAACGTACGAGCCACAGCCCGGCTGATCAGGCACTGGCTTTAGGTATTACCTGGAGTTTACCTGGAGAGAGTTTCGGGGGTCAACGCCCCCGCGGCCCGGTCTGTGACCAGGCCTCCTGGTGGATCAGCGCCTGATCAACCAGGCTGTTGCTGCTGGCTGCACGCAAACCAACGTACGAGCCACAGCCCGGCTGATCAGGAACTGCCTTTAGGTGCTTGTCCAGTGCCAGCTTGAAGACTGCCAGGGTCTGTTGGTAATCCCCCTTATGTGTGCTGGGAGGCAGTTGAACAGTCTCGGTCCCCTGACACTTATTGTATGGTCTCTTAACGTGCTAGTGACACCCCTGCTTTTCATTGGGGGGATGGTGCATCGTCTGCCAAGTCTTTTGCTTTCGTAGTGAGTGATTTTCGTGTGCAAGTTCGGTACTAGTCCCTCTAGGATTTTCCAGGTGTATATAATCATGTATCTCTCCCCCCTGCGTTCCAGGAATACAGGTTTAGAAACCTCAAGCGCTCCCAGTAATTGAGGTGTTTTATCTCCGTTATGCGCGCCGTGAAAGTTCTCTGTACATTTTCTAGGTCGGCAATTTCACCTGCCTTGAAAGGTGCTGTTAGAGTGCAGCAATATTCCAGCCTAGATAGAACAAGTGACCTGAAGATGTCATCATGGGCTTGGCCTCCCTAGTTTTGAAGGTTCTCATTATCCATCCGTCATTTTTCTAGCAGATGCGATTGATACAATTGTATGGTCCTTGAAGGTGAGATCCTCCGACATAATCACTCCCAGGTCTTTGACGTTGGTGTTCGCTCTATTTTGTGGCCAAATTTGTTTTGTACTCTGATGAAGATTTAATTTCCTCATGTTACCATATCTGAGTAATTGAAATTTCTCATCGTTGAACTTCATATTGTTTTCTGCAGCCCACTGAAAGATTTGGTTGATGTCCGCCTGGAGCCTTGCAGTGTCTGCAATGGAAGACACTGTCATGCAGATTCGGGTGTCATCTGCAAAGGAAGACACGGTGCTGTGGCTGACATCCTTGTCTATGTCGGATATGAGGATGAGGAACAAGATGGGAGCTAGTACTGTGCCTTGTGGAACAGAGCTTTTCACCGTAGCTGCCTCGGACTTACTCTGTTGACGACTACTCTCTGTGTTCTGTTAGTGAGGAAATTATAGATCCATCGACCAACTTTTCCTGTTATTCCTTTAGCGCGCATTTTGTGCGCTATTACGCCATGGTCACACTTGTCGAAGGCTTTTGCAAAGTCTGTATATATTACATCTGCATTCTTTTTGTCTTCTAGTGCATTTAGGACCTTGTCCGTAGTGATCCAGTAGTTGAGACAGACAGGAGCGACCTGTTTCTAAACCCATGTAGCCCTGGGTTGTGTAACTGATGGTTTCTAGATGGGTGGTGATCTTGCTTCTTAGGACCCTTTCAAAGATTTTTATGATATGGGATGTTAGTGCTATTGGTCTGTAGTTCTTTGCTGTTGCTTATACTGCCCCCTTTGTGGATGGGGCTATGTCTGTTGTTTTTAGTAACTGAGGGACGACCCCCGTGTCCATGCTCCCTCTCCATAGGATGGAAAAGGCTCGTGATAGGGGCTTCTTGCAGTTCTTGATGAACACAGAGTTCCATGAGTCTGGCCCTGGGGCAGAGTGCATGGGCATGTCATTTATCGCCTGTTCGAAGTCATTTGGCGTCAGGATAACATCGGATAGCTTGTGTTAATCAAATTTTGTGGCTCTCTCATAAAAAATTCATTTTGATCTTCGACTCTCAGTCTGGTTAGCGCTTGCTAAAAACTGAGTCATATTGGGACTGAGTAGCTCACTCATTTCCT